GAAGAAGGGTCCTGACCCGAAACTTAGCCCATTTCTGAAGAAGGGTCACAACCCGAAACATCTGTTTTCCTGCTGCTCTGATGCTGCCTGGCCTGCTGTGTTCATCCAACTCCGTACTGTGTTGTCTGTAATTCCGGCATCTGCAGTTCTTGCTATCTTTACTCTGACCACATTTGTTTCTTTTACCAGTTACCTTCTTTGACACCTCAATTTCGATACTCCATGAGCATGAATATTTTGACCCTATCCACTCTGTCCAGACCCTTTTGAATGCTTCTGTCAAATCTCCTCTTGGCCTTCTCTTCAAATAAATCCTCCTAACTTCTCATTATGATAAATTGGAAATTTCTAACCCCTGGAACCATTCTCAACCTCTGTATTCTCTGCAGTGTAGTCCCAATTTACCTAAGGCTTCTTAACGCAGTACCTTCCAAACTCTCAACTAAGATCAGAAGGAGAAGGGCAGCATATACGTGGGAACATTACCAACCGTAATTTCCTCCCCAAGCCACTCAGGGCTCAACTTGGAAATGTATTGTCCTTTCTTCAGTGTCACTATGTTAAAATCCTGGAACTCCCTCTGTAACAGCATTGTGTGTCTACCTGCACTAACAGTGGCCACCTACCACTATCTTGAGGGCAACTAAGGATGGGTAAAAGATGCTGGCCAGTTAAAAAACCCTAATTCCCCTGAATGAAGAAAAAATTGAAAACCAGTTTAACTTAAGTTGGTAAATCTATCTGTTCCAATCATATATTAAGAAAATGATTACAACAGAAATTACACTTAACTAGACAGTGGACCCAGCTGCTCCAAAATGAAATACCAATCCTTATTTGGCTGGGAATATGTCTTTTTTTTTTCTGCACACAACTGAAAAAAGACCTTAATAACCATTTTGAAACCATGGTGTAACATGCTTAAAGACATTTTTGACCCCTGATTGGGGTTTTTTTTTAATATATTCATAGAATCCCTACAGTGAGGAAACGGGCCCTACAGCCCAACAAGTCCACACCAACCCTCAGAGCATCGCACCCAGACCTGTCCGCCTATAACCCACCTAATCTACACATCCCTGAACACTATGGGCAATTTAGCATGGTCAATCCACATAGCCTGCACATCTTTGGACTGTGGGAGGAAACCGGAGGAAACCCACGCAGACACGGGGAGAATTTGCAAATTCCACACAGACAGTTGCCTGAGGGTGGAAGCGAACCTGGGCCCCTGGTGCTGTGAGGCAACAGTGCTAACAACTGAGCCACCATGCTGTCGGGTTCTTAATTAGCTATAGATGTATAAGCAGTTCATATTCAATCCAAGATTGACCAGGAATTTCATTGGTTTCTTTACAAATAGTGGTCATTTTAGTGATGTCACTTCCTGCTATCTCCTGATTCATTCTTTTTCCACCAAGACAAGATAGCACTGGAAATGCAGTTTGTATGTTTAGGCCATGTAGGGTCACCTTCCATTAATTTTTTTTTTCTCAAATGATAATCTAAATAACAGGACTACAAAACTCGCTACTGAATCATACAAACGCAAACGTTCTGTTACACCCAAACCCTGAGCGAGGTTCCCCAATTTGTTACAGTTCCAGGCGAATGCCCCAAATCATTACCTTCCCAAGTAAGAAGAATGAAATGGCTTCTTTAGTCACCTGACCCCTTGGTTTGTTGCAACACAATTAATTTGAAACTAGATATCTGTCCTTGCAGATTCTTGTCTCCTAGACTTAAAGGGACTTGTGTTTTTAAAAGGTGCCAATTTAACGAGGCTTTCGTGAATTAATCAAAAGTAAATTTAATAATTACTAAATGCAGTAAGAGTTAGTAACAACAATGTGGACAGACTAGGAATAAGAGGCAACTTTTCTTTCTCTCTCTCTCTCTCCAGCCTCCTTCCCTGACGTGTTCTCTCACTGTCTCTTCCTGCGCCTGCCCCAGCACGCCCCCAACACCCATTTTTGTCTGTATCAGCATTATTTTTAAAATGAAAAGATCCCTTATTGGAACTTTTCAGTTTTAAAAATTTCCATGTACTTTGGGATTCTGACCCACAGTCATGACTGTGTCCATTGGTCTTTTACATGCATTTGTTCCAAACGAAACACTTCAAAACATAACCTGTATCTTTAAGTAAAACTGTGTGTGTGACAAAGCCTAAGCCAAAAACAATAAAGCCATAAATCTTATTTTTGACTTATTTAATGATTTTTCTCCAACAAAAACTGTTACTAATAATTTAAACAGAATATTTTAATTCCTCACTTGTTTGATCAAGTGTGTATTATAAACTGTTCAAAAATAACTGAAACCTGCAGTGATACCCAGAACTTTAGACAGTTCTCCAGCTGAGGTTGAACTAGTGTTTTATTTAAGTTCAAAACTTTCTTGATATTGTACTCTGTGACCCTGTTGATAACACCGAGATACCCCTGCTCCTTCAGCCACTAAGATTTATAGTCTTTATTTTGTCTGTGTTCTTCCTAACAAAATGAATTGTTTCTCATTTGTCTCCATTGCACTTCATCCATCTCTGCCTGGTCTGCCCATTCTACCAACTTGTCCATGTGTTTTTGGAGGCTATAATCTCTTTCTCTCAGTTTACAATGCTCCATTGTAAAATTTAAATTGGAAAAATTAACTGGATAATTGTGAATGGAGGAGGGGGTGGTGTGGAGGAGGGGAAAGGAATGGGATTAATGAAAGAATTATCTTGAAGATCTCAATGGCCTCTTCCTCTGCTGCATCATTCCATGATTCTATGAACATAATTCTGGTTACATTATGGAATCTTCAGTATTCTAATGTTGACAGATAACTCCATATTTAAAAGGCATGTTGAAAAAGGAAAGATTGATATTTTTCCTCAAAAAAAAAACAAAATCATTTAGATATTTTGAAATTTATTTAAATTAACTTTATATACAGAAGCCACTAACACCAAGGTTGACTTTCTCCTGTTTTAGAAGTCCATCCAGATTTATGTACACAACTAGAACTAAATGCTGCCGCAACCAGGTGCACAGTGACAAACAGCATAAAAGCCCCTACGCATTGGTTCAGAATGACCTGAAGAATCTATATGATGAAATCAGGCAGGTATGTCAGTCCAGTGGCTTTCATTTCTACTAGCCAAAGTTTTCATTTTCATAAATACAGAGGATTTCAAAACTGGGTAATGGCAGAAGTATAAGGCTTTATCTATTAAATGTTACCACTTCAATAGTGAAATCATGTCCATTAATGATAGGTCAAGGCAGAAACTGAAAGGCTTTTGATACAAAGTATTTAATCTTCACTTTAAAAGTTGAGATCCTGCAACGCAGCAGGAGGGGAGGCGATGGCCTAGTGGTATTATCACTGGATTGTTAATCCAGAGACCCAGATAACGTTCTGGGGACCTGGGTTCAAATCCTGTCATGGCAGAGGGTGGAATTTGAATTCAATGAATATCTGGAATTGGGAATCTAATGATGATGACTGTGAATCCATTGTCAATTGTCTGAAAAACCCATCTGATTCACTAATGCCTTTTAGGGAAGGAAACTGCCATCCTTACCTAGTCTGGTCTACATGTCACTCCAGACACAGCAATGTGTGGTTGACTCTTAACTGCCCTCTGGGCAATTAAGGATGGGCAATAAATGCTGCCTAGTCAGCGACACACTCATCCCGTGAATGAATAAAGAAAAAGAAATGTTAAGCTAGGAGAATACAGGTTTCTTACTCTGTTGTTCAGTTGGTAATCTTGAAAGCCATTTCCCAAGTTGATGGCTTTCCATGTAAAGTAGTGAGAAACTGAGAATGACCCAACTAATGAAAATCTTGTTTGTCTGAATTGACCTGAGGTCAGGGAATCTAGTTTACTGGTTAATCCTCTCAAATAGAATTTGACCTCCTTGATGAGGGAAGAATGGTGTGTAATCACTAACTTGACTGATATGCTTTTTAAAAGCCAAAAGGTTTTTAATAAGCATAATTAAGGGTTATTGAGCTGGGGGCAAATCACATCATAGTTGGTAGGCAGAAGGCCCTTGTCGTCAATGACTAATCGCCATAATCTTTGGTTTTATAATGCAGACTGAAATGGGAAAAGAACGCTATCAAAAATACAGGAAAATAAAAAGCTATGGTCTTTACATACCTGGGAACAGGCTATTTTAGAATGTTTAAAAAGATAGGATTAATAAAGGATCACACAGTTAAGGGAAGTGTTCAGAACATGATAGAATTTCAAATTCAGTTTGAGCAGAGCAATTGAAGTCTTGAACTGGTGTCCTCAACTTAAATAAGGCCAATTTCTAAGATGTGAAGAAAGACTTAACTAAAGTGGACTGGAAGGTTGGTAGGTCAGCTGTGGCAAATCAGCAAAAAAAAAAGGGGCTGTTGTGGTGCAGAGGTTGTGTCCCTACCACTGAATCAGGAGACTGGAATTCAAGTCCCACCTGCTCCAGAGATGTGTAATAACATCTGTGAACAGGTTGCTTAGGAAAAGAGGTTAAATAATTTGTAAAAATATATGGTTAACAAAGGCAGTCAAGGAGAACATCCAATCAAAACTAAAGCATACAAACCGGTGAAAACCAATGATAGGTCAGAGAATTTACAGTTTTTTTTTCTTTAAGGAACAACAGTGGATGATTGAGAAACTGAATAAAGAGGGAATAAGTTAGCCAGAAATATGAAAACAAATAGGAAGAACTTCGATGGGTATTTTAAGAGTAGCTAAAGTGAGTATGGGACCTGGGAGGAAGGGACTGGGTTATTGATGACTCAAACCACTGTTTTGTTCGTTTTGATCAACACTAAACTGTCCCTAAGATATCTGTCTGAGTAAGGTGCTAATGGGAGGCACTGTCTTGAATCCGGTTCAATCAAGAATGATGAAGTATTTAACAAACTAATGGAAATGAAGGCAGACAAGCTGGCAGGACCTGATGTCCTGATTTTAAAGGAAGTGGTTGCAGAGAAAGTGGAGGCTTTGGTGGAAATATTCCACACCTTATTGAATTTTGGGAGAGTTCCAGTGGATTGGAAAACTGCTAATGTGATGCTCCTGTTGAAGAAGGGAGGGAGATTGATAGGCTAACTGGCCTACAGTTTCCTCTAGCGTATCATTTGAGAATGTTCTGAAGTCCAATTTTAAGGAAAAAATAGCAAGATGTTTTAAAAAGCTCAACACAAACAAATAGTCAGTGGTTTTTTGAAAAGAAAATCATGTTTGACAAATTTGGTAGGGTTCTTTGAGCATATAACAAGCAGAATTGATAGAGAAATAATAGATACAGTGGATTTGGAATTCCAGAAGACATTCAATAACGTGCTACATGGAATGTTATTGTGTAAAATAGGAGGACATGGTATTAGGGTGATTTTATTAGCATGGGTTGAGGATGGTTTAATATGTGGAAGCCAGAGCTGGGATTAACTGGTAAGGTTGGAAAGACATAACTAGCCACACGGATCAATGCTAAATCTTCAATTATTTATTACCTATTAATGACTTGGAGTAGGGAGTAGAGTGTAATATATCCAAATTTGCTACTGATACAAAAATAAATATTGTGGTGATGTAAGGAATCGGCAAAAGCCTGGCAGATGGACTTTCATGAAGGAAAGTTTGAGGTCATACACTTTGGTAGGATGAGACGGAGAGACTCTTAACAAAAAAAGAGTGTGGTGCAGAGCGATCGCTGTGTTCTTGTGCATGTAACACAGTTAGCATGCAGGTGCAGCAAGTAATTAAGATGGCAAATGAAATTTTGGCCTTTATTGCTAGTGGTTTAAAGTTTAAAATTGGGTAAGTCTTGTTATTGCTATATGGGATCTTGGTGAGGCCACACCTGGAGTATTGTGTACAGTTTTGGTTCCAGTGTTTTTAATAAAAGATCTATACTGTCAATGGAGGTAGCTCAAGAGATTAGTTAGGATAATTTTTCAGATGAAGGGATTGACTTATCAAAAATGGCTAAACATTAGGCCTTTATTCATTAGAATTTGCAAGAATGTGGGTGATCTTATTGAAACATTCATGGTTCTGAGGGGGTTTGACAGGATATATGGTGAGAAGCTATTTCCATTTGTAGAGGAATTTTGAACAAGGTACAAGGTTGCAGAATAACAAGACATGCCTTTGAAACTGAGGTGTGAAAGAATTTCTTCTCCCAGATTCCAGTGAACCCCTGGATTTCTCTATCCCAGAGATTTGTAGATACCTGATCATAGAAAATATTTAAAGAGGAAGTAGGTTGATCTTTGAAATATCGTGAAGTCGAGGACTGAGGAGCTGGTACAAAAGAGTTGAGGCCTGGTCCTCGATCTTGTAGAATGGCGGGGCTGGATGGCCTAGTCGTGCTCCTATTTCTTGTGTTCTTATCTACCTTTCCCTAAATTCAGGGTTGACAATTTTCAGCAGATAGCAACCAATGTATGTCTGGACAGTACTGTTTTTAATTTATTTGTTTGTATTGATTAAATTCCTTGTAAAAATTGGTTTTAGCATCATTAAAACATTTTAAATTAAAAACCTGATGATTCTTTCCTAAACCTGCAAAATAGAATATATATTATATCCCTGTGAATGCATAATATTATTACCTGCATTACACCTACTGAGTTATCCTGACCATTAATGTCTCATTTCATCTTTAATATTAGCTGTGCAGAGTTGAGGAGAGACAGAAGTGAGAGATACAAGTATAGATTCCTCAGTTTAGGGATGATACAAATGAGAGAGGTTTTTGCAATCATGTTGCATCCTGTTGAATATATAGGCAAAAGGGTAAAGACATAGCTGGTTTGCCTGTATTCTTTTTTAACACTTATTCTTGAGATTTGGCCTTTGCTGGCAAGGCCAGCATTTATTACCCGTTCCTAGTTGCAAAGAGGATAGCAAAGATTTGGAGTTGTATGTAGGCCAGATCATTTGATTGATTTTTATTTATTGTCATGTGTACCAAAATACAGTGAAACGCTTTGTTTACAAGCGGTATAGGCAGATCATAGTAAGCAAAGGATGTACAGATCAAAAAGACTTAGAGGCATACAGGTTACATTGCACAGGACATGCGCCATGCACGATCAGCATTAGTTGAGGCTAGAGAGTCCATATATCAGTCTGATAATAGCTGGGAAGAAGCTGTTCCTGAACCTGCTCGTGCATGTGTTTAGGCTTCTGTATCTTCTGCCTGACAGAAGAGGTTGTAGGAGATCATTAGTGGGGTGCAATGGGTCTTTGATGTTGGCAGCCTTTCTGTGGCAGTGAGCCTTGTAAATGGAGTCCATGGATGGAAGGTTGGCTTCCGGGATGGTCTGGGCTGTGCACACCCCTTCTGTCGTTTCTTATGGTCATGGGCAGAGCAGTTGCCATTCTAGGCACCCAACCAGTATGCTTTCAATGGTGCATCTGTAGAAGTTGGTGAGGGACTTTATGGAAATGCCAAATTTCCTGAGCCGCCAGAGGAAGAAAGGAAAAAGAGGCATTGCTGTGCCTTTTTGACTGTCGCATCTACACGGAAAGTCTAGTACAGGTTGTTGGTTATTGTTACTCCGAGGAACTTGATGTTCTTCACCGTCTCAACCTCACTGTATATGGGAGCATGTTCTCCTCCTTTCTTTCTGAACGAGCAGTTCTTTAGTTTTGCTGACTTTGAGAGACATATTGTTTTCATTGCACCACGTCACCAAGCCCTCTATCTCCCTTTTGTAGTTTGACTCATCGTTGTTAGATATCCATCCCACTACAGTGGTGTCATCAGCGAATTTGACAACACAGTTGTAGGTGTAAAGGGAGTAAAGTAGGGGCCTGAAGATGCATCTTTTAGGGAACCCCAGTGTTGTTGTGGAGGAGGTGCAGTTACCTATCTTCACTGATTGCAGTCTGTGGGTCAGAAGGCTGAGGATCCAGTTACAGACGGCAGAGCCCAGATCGAGGTCAGAGTTTTGTGGTCAGTCTGAAGGCGATAATGGAGTTGACTACAGCTCTGCCTTCAATGAGCAGGAGTCTGACGTAGGTGTCCTTTGTTATCCAGATGTTCCAGGCATGAGTGCAGGGCTGGGGATATGGCATCCTCTCTGGACCTGTCATGTCAGTAGGCAAATTGTAGGCGATCAAGGCAGGTTGGGAGACTGAAGTTGATATGATCAGGTAAAGAAGGCAGATTTTCTTCCCTAAAGAACATTAGTGAATCAGTTGGGTTTTTACCGCAGTTGTCACCATTAGGCCAGCATTTTTTAAATTCCAGATTTTTTTTAGTGAAATATAAATTCAATAATCTCCCATGATGGGATTCAAACCCATGTCCCAAAAACATTAAACCAAAAGTCCAAAGAACTGTGGATGCTGGAAATCAGAAATTAAAACAAAAATTGCTGGAAAAACACAGATCTGGCAGTATCTGTGGAGAGAAAGCAGGATTAATGTTTCGGATGAGTAACCCTTCTTCAGAACATTAGCCTGGGATTCTGGATTACTCGTCCAGTGACATTAGCACCATACCACCATCTCCCCACTATGCGTTGACTAAATATCCTGTTAAGCTTGGCAAATGTGCACCCTTTCTGGGCAAAAGGTTTCTGCTAAATGTAGAACTATTCCCCAGAATGTATTACTATCTTCGGAAGAAGATAAAGCAAGAAAGTGAGGAAGAGTACGGCAAGCATTTAGTTTGTGATCTTGCAAGTTATTGTTTGGGTAATTAATCTTCTACAATACAAGCACAGTTAATCCAGTCTGTTTTGTTTTTCCTGTTATTGCTCATTAGTTATTAATATGTAAAACACTTTTTTTTTCTGAAATGTAACTGTTTAAATGACCTTTCAGCTATTAGCAGTTTCTTCAGACCTTAAGGCAATTTGCGATTATTACTTTGATGGAAAAGGGAAGGCTTTTCGGCCAATGATTGTGGTATTAATGGCAAAAGCGTGCAATATCCACCATGGCAAGAACAGGTGAGTGAAGTAAATTTTGTAAAGTAAACTGAAATAAAAAAACTTTTGAGTAGACCTGAGAAGTATGGGATGTGAAGCAACTAAAGATGGTTGGGCCTAGGATATTATGCTGAGCAACTTCTGGTCAGGTGTCCTCAAGCTCCGATAACTGACCTTCAACAACTGCAGCCATCTTTGCACGTGCCAGGCATGACTTCAACTTATGGAGACTTTTCCCTGATTCCCAGTGACTCCCGTTTTGCTGAACTAATTAGTACCACCCACTGTCAAATGTGGCCTTGTTTTCAAAAGCACTCGCCTCATCTCGAGAATTCAGCTTTTTTTGTTTGCCCATGTTTGAACTAATGACTTGTAAAAATCGTAGTGGGTAGAAATGCTCGCATTAGTAACTCATTACAGCCTTGGTTCAAACATGGGCAAAAAAAAGCTGAATTCCAGAGTTGAGGCGAGTGCTTTTGAAAACAAGGCCGCATTTGACAGTGGGTGGTACTAATGAGTTCAGCAAAATGAGAGTCAGTGGGAATCAGGGAAAAGTCTCCATAGGTTGAAGTCATGCCTGGCATGTGGAAAGATGGCTGTGGTTGTTGAAAGTCAGTCATTTGAGCTCGAGGACATCTGTGCAGGAGTTCTTCAGGGTAATGTCCTAGGCCCAGCCATCTTCAGTTACTTCATGATCTTCACACCACCGCAAGGTCAGAAGTGGACATTCACTGATCATTGCACAATTTTCAGCACTAAGTAGTACTCCTCAGATACTGAAGCAATCCACGTTCAAATGCAGCAAGACTTGGCCAATATCCAGGCTTGGGCTGAAAAGTCACAAGTAACATTCACACCACAAATGCTAGGTAATAACCATCTCCTAATAAGAGACAATCTAACTATCACCCCTTGATATTCAATAGCATTTACTCACATTCAACATCCTGGGAGTTGTTTTTCAACCAGAAACTGAACAGGACTCGTCCTTTAAGTACTGTGGCTACAACAGCAGGTCAGTGGCTATGAATCCTGCAGCAAGTAACTCCCCTCCTGACTGCCCAAAGCCTGTCCATCATATAAAAGGTGCAAGTCAGGATTAAAGTAGCTAGACACCATCCAAACTGCCCACAAGAAGCTGGTGGAGAGCTACCTTCTTGAACTGCTGCAGTCCATATGTTGTAAGTAGACCCACAA